GTCTAAACTTCTCAAAAATCTCATAAGACACATCTTTTATAACAACTTTTCAGGAGTGTTTGCTACCTTTACCCAAACTTTACGATCACGATCATTCAACAAATAATAAAACTATCAAAATTATGATGACCTTGAGAGAATATCGCATCTACGTTAGGGAACAGTCCATATGCTTTTCTCATCAAAATAAAAACACAAAATTACGGATTCGTAGATATTTTTGTTCATAATTCCCGTATTTCTTTTGATATATTTCGTTAATGAAATTTGCTGTTATGCCGCAGAAAGCTTTTCTTCTTCAAATGCGATGCCGTAAATATGCAATTTTAGAAAAATGGGTGTTGATGCCTGACAAAATGTGAGGTGACGTAATGCACATGTTTGCAATGCATAACTCAGCAAAACGGAATTCATCGGGTATAATGAAGTTATTTCGAACTAAAAACCTCCCCATTTGAGAAATAAAACCTTTTTGCACCTTTAAGTTATGTCTGCTCCAAAAGATTCATTGAAATACTACCTGAAACTTTTTTTATAGAAGAATAACCTTTAAAAAAAGATTTTACAGAATAAGAATGTTTACGGACAAGGGTAATGTCTGTAGGAGGGAATTCTGGATGGGAACGTAATAAACAGGAAACAATTTATTTTGCTGTCATGCATGGGATACTGGGAAAAACCTGAGTCCTTCAAGACAAAGTTTGGAGAATGTTAGAATTCGCATTAGAACAGACGTAAAACAGAAATCAATCAGGAAATTTGGCAAACGGAACCGAAAAAAAGTGAGTTCAGTTAGAGGGAAAGGGGGAAGTCCCAAAGGAAAGTTTGTAAAGATCCGAGTCAAAAAAAGTAGAATTACAAAAAATAAGGTTAAGTGGACGGGAAGTGGAAGGGCAGCAAATCAAATGAGAACAAACTAAGATATATTTGTAGACTATCCAAGCCTATTAAAAGATTTTTATAAACTTTTTTTTAATGAGAAAAAAAAGATAAAAATAAAGTTTGCGCAACTTCCAAATAATGATTTATTACTCCAACTTACAATCTCAATTGATAGTCTATTATTCAAATGAGAAAAGCGCTAATTTCGCATTTCTAGAAAATAATCATAAAAACGGCGCCATAAAACACTTCCTAATGCCGACGTAACATTTTTGCAGCCAACACTTTAAATAGTCACGACTGCTGCACTCAAAGAAGATTTACGTTCAGAGTTTTCTTCTCGTAGCACCATTGAAATGACGGCGATGGGTTTTTTCTTACACGATCGCGCAACACAACAACGTCGGCGACAATGTCAAGGTGTTCTCGAAACGAATGGACATGACATACATCAGACGAACGAATCGAAGGGTTTCGATCAATTCCGTGAAAACCACGGCTGAATATTGACGTAAGCGCACTGTCGACGTAACGGACGTTGCGTTGCGTCGGTCGGCAACCGGCTGGATCAGCTGAGTGTCTGGCGCTGGACGGCTACGTCTGCGGCAACCCCCCAAATAGCACAATTCAAGGTTGCCACGGTGCATGACCAGTATATAAATGGGCATTGTTCGTCTGCGTAGAATGTCCTTAGCGACAGATAGATAAAGGTCAATTATGAGGGTAATCGGTAAATTTGGGTTAAGGGTTAAGGGTGGGCTAATCGCCAGAAAGCATCACAATCATATAAATGCTTTTTTCTCGTCAAATATTTCTTCATTAAATATTTGTAAATATTATCACTAACAGTCTATTTAGTTCTTCCTTATAATAATTTTTCTTATCATTTCGGAGCATAAACGATTAATTCTTTTTATGATTTAATTCCAGAAAAAAGCGCAAATTCAAAGACTTTAGGAAACTCCTTTATCTTTTCTCTCTGACAAAGACAATTGAGAAAATGTCAAGGAACATCCCTGAAACCCAATGAACTGCTAGGTAAGCTCTGG